GCTAGATTAGTCGTTCTGGGAAAGGGAACGGTCACGAGCGATGAGCAATTGCAAACGAAAAACCAAGGCAGCTGAAGCGGCAATGGCACTGGCTACACCAACGAAAGAGGTTTTGATAGAAACGGTGATTCCCTCAGACACAGACGAAGAAATCCTGGGGGACGTAATATTCTCTATGTTTGGAGCCGATGCGACGAGCGATAGGAGAACTTGTGTAGGGAGTATATACCACAGTCAGTCAAGTATACACGGGGCGCCAGTTGACAGAAACCGTATGCCTGACGATCCCTTGGGCCTCCGAGCCATGTGTTGGGAGCGAGGAGCTGACCCTGTGAAAAACTCATCTAATAGTAGCTTCGGTGAAGGGACTGCGTTCCGGTTCTTGGTCTTCCTGTTATTTGACATCTTCTTAGCCATTGTCAACGTTAATGCAAATGATTATTGATCTTTGTGACAAGTAACTCAAGCGAAGCATTTTCCATGTGAACGCTAGCATACTTCGGTGCAGGTATGGACTAGATAAGCTGCGTCCTATATAGGAGCCTACCCCGCAGGTGGATACCACTTGGCACCAGTCGCGTCAACCAAAGAAACACCTGGTAAATATGTCTTTGAAACTTAGTAATTGATGCTGTTTCCAGTTCGACTCATCCATCCTAGTTACGTCCATTTCGTAGTTATCCGATCTCAGACGTATCTGGTGAAAATCGTGGTAACACAAAGTGGGGTAAGCTTCATCTTCAAGTATCTCACCTTTCTCTTGTTCACCTCTTTTCACGCAAAATTCCCTTTGTCATGGCGAACCAATGTCCTATTTGCTCCAAGCAGTTCGTTTCGAAAATAGCGCTGAGGAATCACACAGGCACCAACGACGCAACCCTCCGCCGTGCTCACATATGCCGCAAATGTGAGCAGAAGTTCTGCAGCGAGAAAGCGATGGTGCAACATCACGACGCACCGTCTCATCGTGTCATGTTTAGCTGCGACGTGTGCAAGAGGCCTTTTGCAAGCAAGCAGGCTATGAAACAGCATAAGAAGTCCCCATTCCATGCGAGAACACTAACTCGGGAAAAACTTGCGGCTGGGTATGCTGCGAGTGCGTCGTTGAATCCAAAGAAGGTAGGTTCATTATCTCGTGATACGACAGGAAGCATCGTACGGACACTAACATGTGTCCGAGGCTTCATCTTACCAAACAGAACCCCGTACCCAAGCGGCGCCCTGCAATTCGATCAAGGAGGGCGCGTCCAGCGGCACTGACCATTGGGACGAGCACTCCAATAAAGAAGACGCTCGGACAGAAGACGATTTTCGGGCGGCTAGGGGCGAGGATCAGAACTGGGCGCTTTGCGATACAGATTGTGGGTGGTGTGGACATTGCGTTGATGCAGTCGACTACTGAGTCCTGGCCAGCATTAGCTCAATAGAGGTCTTCTGGCATAGACTCGATGCTGTTGTGCTCTATGCAGCGCAGTACTCGGTGAAGATAGACTCTGGAGGCATGCAGCGTGCTCACGGATTTGGCCCTTAAGGTCATGACGACTCCACGGCGCCTCGGCAGCAATGAGAGGTGTATAGGAACGTTCACTGGTTAATTGTGTAGTATCTGGAGCGGATGTTGATTCCTGGAATTAGAGTACTGACTATCATCACTGCTACTTTTCAGTTTGCATTGAGTGAAACTGTGCGCCAAGACGGCAGCCCACTTTAGACCTTCGGGTTGCTTGGCCAACCCCATCTTACTAATGTCTTGATCTTTCCGGTCTATAACACAGAGCATCTTGTCACTACCACGCCCATGGTCCAGATCCGCGCACCAGCACCGCCATCCTCCGCCCCCTCCCATCCACAACTGCAGATTCTCTTCCGCCATCCTGGCTATGACGATGGCAACAATATTCTCTTCAAGTTACATGCCTCTGACATGGACGACAATGGGCAGCCTGGCCTCTATGCTCAGCTTGCGCTCGATGCCTGCACCATAATTGCTGGGAACTGCGCCGGCAAGTGCTGGCTGTCATTGCTGCGAGACGGAAGCGCCTCCATCGACCCGGCCAGCACGCTGCGCGGACGTAGCTACTACTTCCACCTCGACGGCGCTGATGATGATCCGTATGCTATTGTCCCAAACTTCCGCCAGTGGAGCTACCCGCACGACCACCTTCCCATACACTGGCAGCAGATGGCGCCCAATGTAAGCATCGCGTCTTCCGGTATCACTTTCGTACCTTCGAACCTTACGGCCGCCCTACTGATGCGCGACGGTTCATGTCGCCTGAGTGGCTGTCGCGAGCAGCTTCAGGTCGCGCACGTCGTGCCTCAGGCCGAGCTAGACTGGTGGAGGACCAACGAAATGTCGCGGTACAACACGGGCTCGACATCTACACTCGACGATACGGCCAACGCGTTACTGCTGCGCGCCGATCTACATATCGCTTTTGACAAGCCCCGTATCGCCTTTGTTCCTAAGCCGACCGGTGACGGCGGCGACATGCGGCTCGTTGCGCACTTGCTAGAGTACTCGCCCGAGCTCGAGCATCTTTACCACAACCGCGAATTGCACCCTACGACGGTGGGCATTGATATGCTGTATGCGCGCTTTGCATGGACCGTCTTCTCGCTACTCGACGCATTTCTCGAGTGCAAAACCGATCGACGTCTCGCCTTGCGCTCTTCTGAGGTCTGCGTGGCAGATGCTCGTGGCTTTGTAACTGCCGCTAACTGTGAGCTCTTCTCTACTGCCGCGACGAAGAAACGCTCGCAGAGCCCCAAGAAGCGCAAGTCTGAGCGTGACACTGTGCTTGAGCATAATGAGCTTCAGGGCTCTATCGATTTGAGCCGCCGAAAACGCGAATCTGCTATCAAAGCTGAGACTTCATCGCCCGATGCCACCCCAATGAAGGGCTCCCAACCCTATCCGATATCTCTCATTCTTCGAAAGCCTGTTCAATCGCCCACAAAATTGCCCCTCTCGCCGCTCGATTCCTGGCCGTCTTCCCACCCTCCGATACCGTCGCTCGCACAAACCTGGCTCAGCGCCGAACGCCAGCGGTCAGACCCTCACAGCATGTGGAATAAGGAGCGTGACTGGGCGCGGGACGTTTGGGACGGCAGGACACTGACGGGTGACGACGTGCGGCGGTGGTTCGAGGTCTGCGGCGTTGAGATTAGAGATGAATGACTGTTACAAGAAGCTATGGGCTTATAGTCGGTAGATCTGCTGCGTACGTTTGACTGTATGCCTCTTGCCATCACCTGAGCTGCTGCTTACATGAACTGCCGGGCGTGGATAACAATAACGGGATATCTTAATGAGTTTCGCGAGAATGGCACACGCCCAAAAAGTCCGCTCAAGCAATATGCAGGTGACCACCGCAACACGACAGCGCATAGAACTCAGTAGTAATAATATAGTAGATGTCATCTGATCAGCCCCAATTTAACACTGCTCAAGAGCAAAGATAAATTGAGTTGAATTACTACGACAGAATGCTACAGCAAGGCCTAATCTACCCTTATGAGAAGTTGATTAAGTGTGTTGTTGTCGCGGCATTGTGGACTGGTGTGGCCAACTCACTTGTGGAACACGTCAAAACGAGGGCTCTGGCTAAGAGAACAAGCTAATAGCCCCTACTGCGTACCGAGAACCACTCCGCGATGAGAAAGAACTATAGGTACTCCAATCTCAAAGCAACAAAATCATTTGCCCGTCCTAGATATTAATACTACATCGCTTGGATCACTTACAAAGAGGGTCGTCTCCTACCACCCGCCACTCAACGTTGAAAGATTATTAGGTTGTTATTGTCTTCGCGCCATGTTTGCAAAATGTCTTGATTTGCGGTAGAGCTGTACTCCTCCATCACAGATTTGTTACTATGCCTATACGATCTGATACAATCCATGATATGGTAGTATCTAGCTTTTCAGCCGTACCAACCCGCTTGTAGGTCATCTTCAGCTCTATGGCAGCGATACGAGAATGTTTTATGCAATGTTGCTACCCTAGCAGATAGATACTTACCAAAGAGCGACCTTAGCGGGGTCAGCTTCGAACTAGTTTACACGTCTCAGTTTGCACGTCTCATGTAATGAAGTCTATCGTAGTCCAAGCCATGTTAAACATTGAGCTAAGGTGTGGCCGGATGCTTCCTAAGAATATATGGACAATGAGCATATGACGCTGTCGTCTAAAGCCCTCCCGCGCGCCCAAAATCGATGTTTCACATTTCAAGTCTACACCCTGGCCTCGTTCCTGGCTTCGTCGCTGAAGACTGCAGCCGCTTTCGCAAGACGATCGGCTATCTTGTTATGCTCCCTGGAATGTGCCAGAACCCAACCTACGTTGTTTTAGTTTCATATGCAGCTAACATGCACTTTGATACCAACCTTCACGTTCTCCGCCTCGTGCTTTGTTAGTATGCCATCAAGGGCGAGGAACAGATCCGAATTCGCTGGTTTAGAACCTTGAGTTGTGCGCCAATCGTTTCTCTATAAGTACAGTCAGGAATGGTTTGAGAAGCCTCCGTCAGAGAAGTCAAGACATACCTTCCATCTTGGTAGCCACTCGGTCATCCCTTTGATGACATACTCGGAATCAGTAGCGATAATCCAAGCTTTAGTATCGCTCTTAGGGTCCTTATCATGAGCTTCAGAGAAGAATTCCAAACCTGACTTTGCTGCATAGAGCTCTACTCGCTGGTTCGACCGCAATGGGAAGCTGCCCACTGTGTTCGTGATTGGCTTTGACATTTGGCTGCTATCATCATTGCCGTATGCTACACCAACTCCTGCTTTAGCCGCAGGCTTTCCGTTATTCGTACATGCACCATCGATGAATATGATGTGGTAATGGTAGCAAGGCTGAGCTGGTCGATGGCTGCGAGGAAGGTCCAGGAGTTGATTGTTGCATGCGCAGCAATGTAAGAGGAAGTCATTGCATTGAGGGCATTCTTGGACGAGTTCTGGTAAAGGTCGATCTATAAGTGCAGGACAGAGGTTGAGCCTTCTGCCAAGGATGAGATCTTCCTCCCTATCTATTGTAGTAGGCATTCTCAGTACGAAATAAAGTTAACTAGTCCAGATGTTGAGCTACTAGTAATCTCTTGGCATTCGTGTGACCGCCGCTTCACTGTTGGCGTTCACGTTCCTCAGTCTTATGTACTTCATCTCTCGTATTGATGCCCCGCTTTGGAGTTGAATGATAGCACTGGTGTTCCTCGCTATCACGCAAGCAACTATTGAACAGAGTATACCTCCTCAACTCTCTAGTAATTCTATTCCCTCCGAAAGCGATGATGAGGTCGATGGTGCTAACACCAATCTTCCTCTCTGAAAGGTAGGGTCTTATCCATGTAGGCTGCCATCGTGCCCCAATTATGGTAAACTCTGGGTCCTCCGAAGCAACTTTCTTCTTGGTCTGAAGGAGGAAGATGCATACAATACAGTAGCAACGACACCAGTTGTACGTCGTATGATCGAGAAAGAGTGGCGTTACACGACCAACCCTAATCTGCCACTCCAGGCGACCCCAGAATTCTGTTCGCGATAGGATTCAGACGAGCACGTATGGATATATGGGTTCAAGGATAACGCTGGAAGGGTGATAAGAGGTCGGGGCACGATGAAGTAAATGGAAATGCATAAGGTGTCACGACGCCAAAAAAACGCAGCAAGGAAAGACAGCATAGCTTCCTCCTCATTGCCGCACTGCTGTGACCGTTACTCCTGCAGATAGGGGGAAACTTCATTTCGAAAGAACCGGAACTCGTCATATCTAGGACAATAAGTCTTTCGTGTATGCATGTTCAGAAGAAAGGTCGAATTTCCAATGTCAACGCCATCATGGGCTTTAGAAGAAACACTTATACTTATACTTAAGCTACGAAAGTTGTAACATTTATGCTTTGCTCATAGATATCATCATGCTGTTAATAGTCCATATTCTCTGAGAAACCCATGCTAGAGTAGCCACGGATCGAACTCAACGCACTGCGGTGTGTAAATAGTCCAGCCATTCGACCACCGGGAATAGTAATCACAGCTGCCTGTCGCGCATGTCCAAAAACCTAACCCAGGTCTTCCCCGCGCAATGCCCTCTCGATCTTGTCGACTAGGGACACCGCAATAACAAGTCGGATTACTGTTACATACGCCACGCTCATCATCCCAAGTAACCCATCCTTCTTCGTTGTTGCTTTTGCATAGCATGCATATATAATATGGTCGACTGGCGTTTCCGTTCGGATTTGACGGCCGTGTGATATGACGATCCAAAGTTGCTGAGCCGCAGACGCGACAATGAGGCCGAAGAAGAGGAAATTGAGGTTGTAAGGGCCGCCTAGTAAGGAACAGCAGGATCTCAGACACTGAGACGTCTAGCCTTCAAGTTAGCGACACGATAAATCAGCGGTTGTGGATACTGGCCAGAATATGTGGGATGTCCTGGCCCCAAAGCCTCAACTTCCCAAGTCTCAGTCATTATTGCACCTTTATTCGTGTTTCCCTGTAAGTATGAAGCCAATATTAGGTGGGCAAATAGAATATTCTCGTACCTGCTCAGAGCAAAAGAGCAGATTATGTGCTGGCGGTAGTCATCGGTCATTTAATTACCCCGCTTGGTTATCGCTCGTGCTTGCCGAACACTGGCGCCTGATCTGGGTACTTGAGACCCACTCGAACCCATGACTTAACATGTGTGGCCCCAATAAGACCATTCATAAGAAAAAGCTCGCCTTTTCCAACGTAACCGTGAGCTATTATATAATAGAACTCTTTAAGAAAGCCTCAAGTGCAATGGCTTTTCGCTCACACAACACTAAACTCTTACTTAGCCGCGGAAGCGGCCTGCTGGCTAGATTGTGCTATTGTTTTGCATGATGTGTACAGATGATACGTATACAAACAACGTTATTTTGTCTCACTATATTTATAGGAACACAACAACTATAACCACAAAGAGTACTCTTGCTGAATGAGCCGAAACTTGGTTATTTGCCTTTGACCTAGACAAGTTACGCAGGAGCCTCCTGAAGTCATTCCCAGCGTCACTGAGAGATTCAAGCAAAGGTGAATTGGCTGGGCCAACTAAGTATCTATTGCACGTTCGGTAGCTCGTATCTCATCGTGTCTGTTAGCGCAATTGCCCTATCGAGCCCTACCTTGACACATAACACCCAACAGCCTTACTGTTCTGAGACTAAACCTGTGTTCTACTAGTATTTAAATTTAGAACGGATGAGGATAAGAACTTATTCCATCATAGTATTTACGTAGGTACAACCTAGGCAATTGTTAGATTGTGTAAATAAGGCGTTATCTTAGTTGAGTAGCTGTAATATGAGAAGATTCTTGGAGATGCTGCTATGCACAGCGCTATCGTAAAAGCATCGCTGATTTCACCAGGACGAAAGTAACCAATATTTAAGCAGTTTGACAATGATCTAAGTTTTACTGTAGCCCATCGAGTTACAATCTGTAGAAGAAATAGTATCTAGCATCCATGCGAAGGTAAAGTTAAGTGTCTTCATAACCGCATCCAAAAGAGACCCAATCCCTTGTGCGAGTAAGAAATTACTTCCGATCTATTACAACACATACTTTATCATCTTTGTCAAAGTAGTGCCCTTCGCTTTTCAAAAAGTCTCGATCTCCAAGCCTGAATCCTTGCAATAGAAGCAACCTCATATCAGCGCATTTTAGGAAAAAACCGTCCCATTCTTCTGCACTTCCATGAATACGGTTCGGGTTATTGAAGTACGTCACAACGAAAGCAACATAAAACTCGCGTAGTTTAGAGTGCATAGCACTGTTATCGCATGCATGTTCTACATCACTTGTTGTGACTGCTGTGTTGAAAGAAGTGGCTGTGTGCTGCGCATATATACGACCCATGGCGTAGTTCTTGAAGCCTATGCACAGGAGCTTACCGCCAAGAACCCAGCATTTAGCGTCAATGCTGGCCTTGCTAGCTATTTTCTGCTGCTTTAAGTGATTGGTACTGACGCGTCTACTTCTTGCTCATCTGGAACACCCTCTTCAAATGTAATCCCGATTCGCCTCCAGCTGCATGCGATGTTGCCTTCGGCCGACCGCGCTTTGCTTTACCTACGGCCTTTTTGGCAGCATCTTGTTTAGCACGTTCTGCACGTTCTGCACGGTCCGCCCGAATAGCTTCGAGTTCTTCCTGTCTCATTACCTGTCCTTCGCCATTCTTCCCAAGCTTTTTCAGGATATCTGATCTTGTGTTTCGGCGAGACTTAGACTCGTTATTGGCAGCTTTAAGAAGTCCAATGTAGTTCTGGTGAAGGGCTTGTCGGGCAATAAACCTTTCAGCGGCATTGGCAAGCTTCTGAACTAACTTGTGACGGCGCATTTCGTTTGGCTCGTTATTATCAGAATCTTGCTTGATGAGATTGACTAGCTGTGCTACAGCTTCTGATGACACGGCTGTCACTGGCGTTTGAATTACTCCATCTTGTGTACTTTTGACTTCATAGGGTAATTGGGTAGTCAGTGGAACTTCTGGCTTTACGATATCACGAAGAACCCTAGAAGGGTTGAATGGAAACAGACCAGTCTTAGCCCACCCAGCAAGTATGTTCTTCTTCGTCATCCCGTTTTTCTCGCACGACTGTATATGGTAGTGAAGTGCTCTTTGATGACATTCGTCAAGCCTCCATGGTAGCACCGCTCGACCGCACCTCGGTACGCTGTTTTCAATGGCCGGAAAACTGATACGCCACAGGGTTGTGTCTTGTGAGACGTGTGAGAGGGCAGTCTACATAGAGTGATGTTATTCTCGAAGTAGAGTTCAAAGATCTCAAGGGTTTCATGTGTTCCAAAGCCATCGCAGATGAGTATCCGTGGCTTTCCATTAGTACGAGCTTTAGTCTGAGGGTCAAAAACTTGCTTAATCCACTCTAGGCCGATAAAAGAGTCGTTGTAACCTATTTTGGAAAGAGCTTAAAACCACCCAGAGCTAGGGTATGTTGTCCAGTTACTCCTATGAGTAAATGCAGGCCAGATAATTATCGGATTGAGACACTCACCGCTTGCTGACACGCATTCGATAGCAGTTACCATCGTCCGCTTTTTGCCAGTTCCTCTATAGTTCTGTCGGTCATTCTTACCTACAAGAACTTTAACGGAACTAAGCATAGAGAGCATAGTGTCTGTCTCGTCCATATTATAGACGTTTTTTGGCAAGACGTCTGATCTACAGAGTTCCTCCTTAATCACATCAAACCAATGTACTACCTTGTCATATATATTGTTATCATAACGCTCCCACGCCATAGGCCTATATTCCTCGATTTGATGTGTGGATGGCGGCGACGAAAGGCTTGAGGCTAATTCTTCTTCGGTGCCTTGGAGGGTCGTTTCGTAGCACGTCAGCTGGGGATACAAAAGGTAAGTGCAGGTATATATACTTGACACGTATAGGAGTTCCAACTGCACTCATTTGTAATGTGAAAGCAACAAGAGCTTTCTCCTCAGGTGGGGTAAGATATTGTTGGCTTTGGGCCTTCTCCTTCGTCAAAGGTCGTCCGCGCTTCCGATAGTATCGAGTATGGTAGGGAATTTCTTCTTCGGCTCCTGCGGAGGAAGCCCCGTTTTCAGGCATATCTCTAGAGGCAGTTTGCAGCAGCACTTGGCTAATCGTCCCCATGTCTGCTATGGTGTTACGAATGCTGGTATTCGGGCCAGCACGATGCACAGCACAGCTTCTAGGCTGAACCAAGGAACCTGCCTGTGCTAAAAATAGAAGCCACGTGACCAATACAAATGCTTCGAGAAGCGGCAAATGACCGTCACACTGCTAGGTGAAACTGTTCCCCAACTATCACCGCATTCGTATACGCTACCATATCATCATCTAATCCTGACTTTAGATTGAGCCACAATGTCACCGCTCTAGACTGGACTGCGACCTTTTTACAAGCTAATTTACCGACGCAAACAATACTAGAAAGTACAGTAGCATCTAGGTTCGTGCGCGTGCCGGATTCGCGTTATTCTCAAGCGCGCCTCATACGCGCCTGGTTACTACCGACCCGCGAAAACCCGCACCACCTGAGAGATGCGCATTACATCAACTGCTGAAACAAAGACAACGATTGCTATGCTTCCGATGTTAGAGCAACATGACCTAAAGCTGCTCGCATATAGCGAAAGAGTAGGTCTAGCCGTCCAAACAATGGATCGTAACCCAAACATGACCAGAAGACGCGCTGCTTCAATCTTCAAAGTTAAACGAAGATCAATTCGTGATCGATCCGTTCACAGCCCTGCTGAGGCAACCACAGCTTCCGCCATCGTCGCCCCAAACAACCAAGAAAACAGCAACTTCCATGCCTTACCTACCGAACTAATCTGCGCAATCCTCGACAATCTCATATCCGCACGAGACGTCGTTGCTGTTGGACAAACAAACGAGACCTTGCGCCACGTTGCGATCGACCATCTTTGCCGGAATGCCTGTCGCTACAGTGCCATCAGCTGGGCTATATATGCAGGACGGAGAACGCTTCTTCAGTTACTGTTGCAAAGAGGCGCCGCTCTTGTATACAAAAAATATCATTTCGATTTGGCTTTACCGATTGCGGCAGCAAAAGGGGATGAGGTCATGATCAAGCTGCTGATTGATGCCACTATCAATATATATGGAACAGTCAGCGACTTTGATGTTGTAATGTCTGAAGGTGTGCTTCGTGGCAATGCGCATATCGTAAAGCTTGCGCTTGATATGTGTACAACCGTGGGATTCGACTACACAAAACTCTATTTTGGAGGACTTGTAGATGCTTCTTACAAAGGACGAGAACAAATAGTGAGAATGCTCCTCGACGAGGGCGTACCCGGCAATGAAACGCGCGGTAGAGTTGATAGAGCTCTTTATTTAGCTGCAGGCGCTGGTCATGAGCAGATTGCAAAGCTACTGCTTGAAGCTGGTGCTAATGTTAATGCAATAGGATGCGGTAACGACAGCGCGCTTCAAAGAGCCTCATCAGCAGGTCATGACACAGTGGTGAGGCTATTGCTGGAATCTGGCGCCAGTACGAGTAGACATCGAGGCTTGTTCTATGGCAGTGCACTCCAGCAGGCTTCGGAATATGGCCACGAGCGGGTGGTAGAGTTGTTGCTCAGAGCCGGTGCTCGTGTCAACACACCCGGTGGGCGTTCTGGGACTGCACTTCAAAGAGCTCGAAGAAATCGACACATGAAAGTGGTCAAGCTGCTTCGAGATGCTGGTGCGAGGGAAAATATGCTAGTGTAGGCTACCAACACAGTGTGCAGATTATTGATGGCCAATAGAGCCGTGAACGATGTTATTACGCTAGGCAGTGCTGTGTCGATTGATTGCCGTGCTAGGAAGTGCGTCACACCTTGACTCCATCGAGCTAGGCAGATACATAACAGTATAGAATAGGGCGTGTCAATAAATGACGTAACCAGAGCTACATAGAAGATCAGCTTCAGCCGCTACACAACGCGGCGTGTAGAAAGGTACTAGGAGT